TTCCAAGCCAACATGGCGACAGTTTTTCGCATGTGGAATCCAAACAACTTGTATGTTAACTTCAACATGGCCTAGTCGGTCAACTCTAAGGGTTCAAGTTAATTTCTAAGCCAACATGGCGGTTTTTCGATTGTGGACAACACAGAACTCCCCAACGCGCGTGCGCGCGCGTGGGTGACCATGGTCACCCGCGCGCGGGGGTGACCCGCGCGCGCCGGTCCCCCGAAGTCCGCTCGGTCACCGATAAGGGTTCAGATTATTTTCCAGGCCAACATGGCGACTTTTCGATACCCCCACAGATTCAGCAGACGTAGATGCTTACGCCTGAAGATACCCAGACGTAGACGCCCAAGAACCCAGACACCCGGCGTCCATGGACGCATATACCATGTTTTTTTTGTTATATATGTATATATATACCGTGCCGGATATAGCATAGACCATATCCCAGACACTTTTACAGCCGACACAAATATACACAACTACACTGGTGTATATATATACACACTCAAAATACACGGAATTGTATATACAACATACAATATACAACACACACTCAACATACTACGCGTTCAAGCACTCTGCATTCCGCACTCCAGCATTCCAGCATTCCGCCACGCCCCCCACACGGATCCCAAGACACCCGAGAAGTTACCGAAAACATCCAAGACGCCCCCCAAGATATCCCAGGCCCCGGGCGCCCAAGACAGCCCAGACACCCACCTAAGGCGCTCCTCGTTCTTAGAATAATTCGTGCGCTACTTGTTGCCAGTTTGCTGTCCTGCTCCTGTTAAGTCGTGCGTTGTCTTCGGAGGGGTGGCGGAGCCTTCCCGAATTCCTCGGAGAGGTTCCAGGACCCCACTGTCCCAAGAGTCCACGGCGGCCCTCGGGCTGCCTAGGAACCCAACATCCAAAAGTCCAACGCGGCCTTGGCCCTCAGTTGCCAGGTGCAAGGACGAGGAGGACCAGGAGGGGGCGCGGCCCCTGCCCTCGTCCAGATTTCATATCCTCCTTCATCCGTCCTCCCTCCTTCCAACGCCCCACATCCGTCCATCTGCCTTGCCCCGTTATCCTGTTTCTCTCCACCGGTGTTGTGATTTTGTTGTGATTTTGGTGTTTCTTAGTGCATTGGCAAAAGGGGCCCCTAGAGGTCAAACGGCAGCGAGTGGCGCATATACACACAGCGGGGCAGCACGCCACTATAGGGATGTTTTAGGGGCGCCGTGCAGCAGGGATGTTCCCCACATCCAAAGTGGGGTTCTCGTTTTCTTTGGACACTCCGCGCAGGAAGTCTTAACCGTCACCCCCTCGCTCTCCTCCTCATCACCAGCACCTCACTCACACTCTCATTCACTCATCAGCACACTCCTCCTCCTCCTCCTCCTCCTCATCATCATCATCATCATCATCATAATCGTCGTCATCATAAGCATCATTCACTCACTCACTCACTCTCTCACTCACTAACACACCCACACTTGAGGAAGTATCAGGCGGGAGCCTCGTCTGTAAGTGAATGCAAGGAAGTCTTGGGTCCTGAATGTGGGGGAAGTATTTGGCGGGAGCCTCGTCTGTGAGTGAATTGCCAGGAAGGAAGGCTCAGGCGGGAGCCCCTTCCCTATGGGGCCCGCAGATCATGTTATTAATCCGAGTGGGTCATCCCGATCCTGTAACCGTCGTCACTTTTGGGTTCCTGCGGCCTGATTGCGGGGGAAGTATCAGGCGGGGCCCTTGTCTGTGAGTGGGTTGCGAGGAAGTCTCAGTCGTGAGCCCCGTCCCTATGGGGCCCGCAGATCATGTTATTAATCCGAGCGGGTCATCCAAAGTTTGTATTTGTCGTCACTTTTGGGCTCTTGAGGCCTGACTATGGGGGAAGTATCAGGCGGGAGCCCCGTCTGTGAGTGTATCGCGAGGAAGTCTCAGGCGGAAGCCCCCTCCCTATGGGGCCCGCAGATCATGTTTTGCATCCGAGCGGGTCATTCAAATCTTGTATTTAGTGTCACTGTTGGGGTCCTGAGGTTTGATTTTTGATAGAAACTCAGGCGGGAGCCTCGTCTGTGAGTGAATTGCGAGGAAGTCTCGGGCGGGAGCCCCTTCCGGGGCCCGCAGATCATGTTATGAATCCGAGCGGGTCATCCCAATCCTGTAATTGTAGTCGTTTTCGGGCTCTTGAGTCTTGCATATGGGGGAAGTATCACGCGGGAGCCTCGTCTGGTAGTGAATTGCGAGGAAGTCTCAGGCGGGAGCCCCCTCCCTATGGGGTCCGCAGATCATGTTATTAATCCGAGCGGGTCATCCAAAGTTTGTAATAATCGTCATTTTTGGGTTCTTGAGGCCTGAATATGGGGGAACTATTAGGCGGGCGCCTCGTCTGTGAGTGAAGTTCGAGGAAGGAAGGCTCAGGCGGGAGCCCCTTCCCTATGGGGCCCGCGGACCATGTTCTTAATCCGAGCGGGTCATCCTCGAACCTGCAATTGTCGTCACTTTTGGGCTCCTGAGGCCTGAATCTGGGGGGAGCATCAGGCGGGAGCCTCGTCTGTAAGTGAACTGTGAGGAAGTCTCAGGCGGGAGGGCCCTCCTTATTGGGCCCGCGGATCATGTTGGCAATCCGAGCGGGTTATCCAAATCCGATAGTTGTCATCCTTTTTGCGCTCATGAGTCCGAACATGGGGGAATTATTTGGCTGGAGCCTCGTTTCTGAGTGAATCCTGGGGAAGTCTCAGGCGGGAGCCCCTTCCCTATGGGGCCCGCAGATCATGGTTTTCATCCGACCGGGTCATCAAAATTTGATAACTATCGTCACTTTGGGCTCTTGAGGCCTGAATATGGGGGAAGTATCATGCAGGAGCCTGGTCTGTGAGTGAATTGCGAGGGCGTCTCAGGCGGGAGCCCCCTTCGTATGTGGCCCGCGGATCACGTTGGCAATCCGAGCGGGTCATCCTCGAACCTGCAATTGTCGTTCGTTTTGGGCTCCTGAGAACAGAATAGAGACGAAATATCAGGCGGGTGCCTCGTCTGTGAGTGAATTGTGAGGAAGTCTCAGGCGGGAGCCCCCTCCTTCGGGGGCCCGCAGATCATGTTGGTATTCCGAGCGGGTCGTCCTCGAACCTGTAATTGTCGCCACTGAGGCCTGAATATGGGGGACGCATCAGGCGGGAGCCTCGTCTGTGAGTGACCTGTGAGGAAGTCTCAGGCGGGAGCCCCCTCCCTATGGGGCCCGCGGATCATGTTGGCAATCCGAGCGGGTCATCCTCGAACATGTAATTGTCATCACTTTTGGGCTCCTGAGGCTTGAATGTGGGGAAGTATCAGGCGGGAGCCTCGAGTGTGAGTCAACTGTGAGGAAGGCTCAGGCGGGAGCCCCCGTCCCTAAGGGGCCCGCACCTTTCGTGTTTCCTCAGGGTCGTCCTCCGGCGCGCGCTTCCTTTGGGTCGTCCTCCGGCGCGTATCCGCCGGGACGCACGTCGTGCGTTTCCTTTGGGTCGTGTTCCGCACGAGGAGGAAGAAGGAAGAGGAGGGAGGAGGATGCAGGACGAGAAAGAGAAGCACGAGGATGAGGAGGAGGAGGAGAAGGAGGAAGCGGAGGGCGAGAAGGACGAGGAGGACATGGAGGAAGAGGAGTGCCCTACGAGGCCCCAGGATGTCCCGGGAGGCCTAGAAGGCTCCAGGAGGCCCCAAGAGTCCCCAGGAGGAGGCAGGACGCCTCAGGAGGAGGCAGGAGGAGGCAGGAGGAGGGGGAGGCGGAGGCGGAGGAGGAGGGGAGGAAGATGGAGACGAGGAGGAGGAGGAGGAGGCGGAGGAGGGAGAGGGAGAAGAGGAAGATGAGAGGGGAGGCGGAGGAGGAGGAGGATGAGGAGGAGGAGGAGGATGAGGGAGAAAGAAAGCAGCAGCACGAGGAGGAGGACGCAGGAGGCAGGAGGAGCATGGGGAAGGGGGGAGGAGGCATAACGAGGAGGAGGAGGAGGAGGAGAAGGAGGTGGTGGTGGAGGAGGCAAGAGGAGGAGGAGGCAGGGGTTGAGGCAGGATGAGGAGGAGGCATGAGGAAAAGGAGGAGGCAGGAGTAGATGGGAGAAGCGAGGGGGCAGGAGGAGATCCCCAGGCAAGCTAAACATATTCTCATGTGGGGTCCTACTGTCGGAGCAATTCGACACTGACGCCGGCGATCTGCGTGAGGGGTGCCACCGAATTTTAGAAATGTGGGAAATCCCATTGGTTGTTCGACACTGCCGCCGGCGATCTGCGTGAGGGGTGCCGCCGAATTTTAGACATGTGGCAAATCCCTATGGTTTTTGGACTCTGACCCCGGCGATCTGCGTGAGGGGTGCCGCCAAATTTTAGAAATGTGGCAAATCCCATGTGTTTTTCGACCCTGACCCCGGCGATCTGCGTGAGGGGTGCCGCCGAATTTCAGAAATCTAATCCCATGTGTTTTTGGACCCTGACCCCGCCGATCTGCGTGAGGGGTGTCAATTTCGACCCCCCCAGAAATTCTGAGCTCCGCCCCCTCGCGCTGTCTACAACAAGGAACAGTCATCAGCATAAGTAAGCAGCATAAAACAGAATTGTAACAGTGGAAACTGGAAACTGGAACTGGTGCAGGGAACAGCAAACCCTGGTCCTACAGCCTGGTGGCCCCACAAGGGGGCCAGCGGATACATTTTTATAGATATATACATATATATATATGTATATACACATATACATACATAATTGCATATACATATATATATATATATATATATATATATATATATATATATAATTGCCCACTTCTCTCTATAGATAGATTGATCGCTTCTTCTACCTCTCCTCCTTTCTTCCCCCCCTCCCCCTCGCCTCTTCCCAGCTCTGCGAGACCACTTCCCGCGCCCCCTCTCTCTCTCTCTTTCCCGTCTCTGCCTCCCCTGGCCGTGGAGCCCATGGTGGGCCCCCCGTCGACTCCGGCGGCACCTCCCTCCTTGACGTCGGGGCCTCCAGAGGGCCCCTCTCCGGCCCGAGAG